TGACCCCTGGAGGTCAAAAAGTGGTGTTTTAGCCCTGCAGACCTAACTTTAGGCCCTTTGCACGAGCCTAAGGGCTTCCGATGGTTCAAAATCGACCCTGCAGCTAGTCTTAGGATACCTTGAAGTACAATAATCCATGTCGACTTTTAAGATCCCAGATTTTCACTCCACCCTACCGTTACATCCCTTTCTCGAGTCTTTGGGGCAAGCTCAAAGACGACGGGTTTAAGCGGACCGAAGACCCGAAGGCCCGCTACATCGTTCGATCATGTTCTTCAGCAAATCACGTGACCATCACCGCCGGCAGGCCAAGCAGGCCCGGCCTCTGCCGAACGGAGTTGCCGGCGGAGCGAAGCGGAGCTGGCAACTCCGTTCGGCGGAAGGGCGGGCCTACTTGTTTCTCTTCACTTCTGACTTCTGGACCCGGGATTCATTGAAATAACCCTCCTAGTCGACGCGGCTGTCCTTGGCGACCTACGGGTCGTTCCACCCGTCGCTGTCCGGGAAGGATACGAAGCTGGGACGCATCCAGCACATGATTGTCCTGCGCGCGCAGAGGCCCCTGTTCCTTACAGCGGGCCGCTTCACGAACCTCACGCTGAAACTGTTCCAGGACGTGAGTGATAAAGCCTTTAGAATGCGCAGAGGAGCGAGGGGTCGATCGCTCATAGTTGTGCATCGAATATATGGAATATTTTGGGAATATGATGGTCTTGCAATATCTTGAAAAAAATTGATGGGAAATCTCTAATACTTGAAGAATATCTGGAATACTCTTAGAATTTTTGTTGAATATTTTTCAGTGTGTACATGGGATATCCAAATGGTCCACCCCTCGCAGATAAACGTTTCGTCGTTGATGTTGTGTTTTGGACGATACGGTTTTCTGGGAGCGGCGCATCTTATTCCGCAAACAAAACACCGACCCGCACTTGCCTTCCTTTCGCAGATCATGCGACGGTCTTACTCGCTCTACTCCACGGTTATCAACATGAGATAGACGACGACATGCACCGCGGCAGGGGGGCGGTGGCAGGCCCACTCCGATTTCTTCTTTCTGTCTGGGCTTGTAGACAATTTATTTTTAGCAGATGATACCTTAAAAACCCTTGGACTAAATACAAAGAGTATATAAGTAACTTTAAGGTGTCAGCTAGCTTTTACTCTCAAAACGGTAAGAGAATCGAGCGGAGACTAGAAAACAATATCTGTAGCGCTGGCGGCGGTAACCCAGTGGGCTATTGGACCCCTTTTCGTGCTCATAAATCGGATTTTTCAATGTCATAATTTAAAGTTCCGGATGATGGATTCTTGTTTGGAAAGGTGTAAAGTATTACAGGGAATTCTAGATTTGGCTGAACCCGCCGTCTTTGACCATAGTACAGGCATCGAAAGGCGAAAAACGGGGTAAAAACATCGGCAGTTGCAAATTTTTCATTTAATATTTTCTACATGTTAATGTAAACTATCGGGGCATTCCCCGTTTCTTTTCCAAAAAGGAAGCAACTTAAGAGGAAAATTACGACATGAATTTTTTTAAGACATTTTAATTTCATAGAAAGTTGAAGTTTTGATTCGAGATTCCGCAACATTCCACGGTGTTTCTGGCAAAAACTTATACTTTTATATGTCCTGTAATTGGCCGCACCTAAATCTCGTCCGCGTTTTTCCGCCAATTTGAGATAAAAATAGTTAAAGACATTAAATGCACAAAAAATTGACCAAAACGTTGATATGCGGCGCATGTCGTAATTTTCCTCATAAGTTGCTTCCTTTTGGAGAAGAAACCGGTTGTCGAAGTCCCTGATAGTTCAAATTAAGGGGGCAGACCTGTGAAACGCAAGGGTTTGGTAAAATAGGAAGTACAAGAAAACGAAGATTCGTAGCGCTTTAGAAAGAGCAAGGATTAAGCTACGTTTTGATGTATACAACGTCTGCTTGCTTCTCCTGGAACATGCTCTTCTTTGTCTCGAAGTGGAGGGTTACGGGCCTTTACCGTGTGCAGGATTGCGCGACAACGGATGGACCTACAGCAACGACAAAAATGCTTATTCACTCTTAAAAGGTGTAGCCTTCGTTTGACGAGAGCGATTTTGAAATTTTTGTTTTTAAGTGTGTGAAAAAAATTCCCAAAGTTTGGGTGCCTAAAATTTGGGTAAATATTGGGTACTTTATCCCCTATTTCGGTACTTTAGAAATGAGATATCAAAAACGCTCACGTCAAACGAAAGGTACATATCTAGGCTACAACCAGGCGAAGTGGCTAGGCTGTAGCTCAAAAACTGTGGCCTGGAGGCTGCACACGGTAACGCAAGACAGAAGTGGGAGAAAAAACGCGTTTAAAGTTTTCAGTATCGATGTGCAACGACGAGCCAAAAGCCGGGGCAACTTTCTGTACCGGTTCTAAAATATTCCGGGGGCCTAGAAGACTCCTTCCTCGTCCTGTGTCCTGTCCTAAACGGCTAGGCGAGTCCTAGCGGTCCAGCCACCCGGCCGCCCGCAGCACGTTTTGGGCTCTCCTGGGAGCAATTTTTCAAATTTCGACGTCCGCTTTTCGTCATTAGAAAGAGGAAAGATCAAAGAATTTTTTGAAGCAACAAAAAGAGTGAATTTTTAAAAGGATTTTTGCAGGTCTGCCCCCTTAACTGACATTAACATCTAGAAAATAATAAATGAAAAATTTACCACTACCGATGTTTTTACCCCGTTTTTCGCCTTTCGATGCCTGTACTGGTCGAACACGGCAGGTTGAGCCAAATCTAAAATTCCCTGTCATACTTTTACCCTTTTCCAAACAACCCGCGTGGAAGGATGTGTATTAAGACTGTAGTTAAAACTGTAGACATCGAACTGCAGTTGCGATATACTATCTGAAACTATAGGTTAACTGTAGTCATTGTGCATTTCTTAACTCTTAATTGTTCTGTAATTCCATTTATATAATGACAGCAGTCACACTGCTTTTACATTCACAATGTTGGCTGCATTGCGCTCTACAAGTTAAAACTGTAGTTATAAGTACAGTCTTTGAACAGATATTTGAGTCTTACGAATGAATTTCATTTTCGTGTTACAATCTGCGCTTAAACACAATTTTCAAGTATAAAACTGCCATACTTTAGATTTTAATACTGCTGCAATTCATCAAAGCAGTTATTTTTTCAGTTATATTTCAATCAGACTGTTGTTATCTTAGACTGAAACACTCTAAACTGGTTGGCGTCTTTTAACGCCAAAGAATTGGCGTTCTGTGATAACGCCAGAAGTTGGCGTTCAAAGACGCCAAGATTTGGCGTTCGAAGGAGAAGAACGCCAATATTTGGCGTTAAAAGACGCCAATACTTGGCGTTTTTCGGAAAAGAACGCCAATATTTGGCGTTCTTTAAAGGACGCCAATAATTTGGCGTTAAATGACGCCAACCATTTTACAGTGAAACCGCAAATATAGTTAACAGTGTCGAACTGTGCATATGTTGCACTTAAAATATAAGTAGACTTTATGTGACAACGTACACTCAGAACGTCTTTTTACCGACAGTACTCCCTCGTTTGCTTCCCCTGTGCGATGAGTTTGTCGATCCCTTGGTCGGTGGGGTTTTACGTCGCCTAGCCTAGGCGCGCCCTTCCGACGGTGGTTCCTCCGTATGCGTACAGCAGAAATATGTCCCGTAGCGGGGTCGCTACCCAAGTACCTCACCCTAACGCCAACAAAATTTCTGTTTCCCGGTTAAGAATCGCTTTACTAGAGTCGAAGTTCTGTTATTCGTGATATCAACCAGGGAAGAGGACGTTATAATTATAAACGGGTTTATTCGCGCAAAAAAAAAAAAAACGGCCAAGGCTAGGGAACCCCAAACTGCCATAGTTGAATTACAGAGAAACTGTAGTTAAACTATAATTAGACAAGTAGGCCGACGGGCCGGGACCCTTGGCATGACACCCGGTTACTGCGGCACCAGAGCTATCGTGTCGCAGTGGCTCAGTGGTCAGCGTACCGGGCTCCCAACTCAGAAGTCCAAGGTTCAACACCCGTCAACATCCGAGGTAAACCCAATTTAATAACTATGAGGTAATAACTGAAATGATACAATATGAGGTAAATAACTGAATAGGGGGGGAGAAAGAAAGACCCAGAGAGGGAAAAAGATGTTTTTAACACTATGATTTTGAATCATTTGACACTTAAGTTTAATTATAGTCCGAAACACAGACAACTTGTAGATCAAACTATGTTTAGATCTGTAGATAGAGTGCGCGAAAACTGCAGTTAAAGTGAGGAGTGTTCCAAATCTTTACACATTTTTTTTAGATTGACTGCAGTGAAACTGCAGTTGACTGTCATTTAACTATAGTTTTCTATTAAATAACTACACTTAAACTGCATAATGCCAGATGCAGTTCGTATGCACTTTTATTGTACTTGTAAATTACATTTGTGTTTGTAAAATACCAACATTACTTCAGTACAAATACTATGCTCACACTAAGGTTCTATCAAAAGTTCAGCTGCAGTCCACAAGTGTATTTCAAACTGTGAATCTTTCCACGCGGGAAGAATTCGCTATCCGGAACTTTTAATAACGACATTGAAAAATCCGATTTATGAGCACGAAAAGGGGTCCAATCGCCCACTGTGCTCCGGTTGCGGACGGTCGTCCGCTGTTGTAAAAGCAAAATGTTGTTGATGTGGCCGAAAAAGCAGGAATTTAAATGTGTGATGATACTTTGAAATGCGAGACGGGAGCAATGTCTCGCGGACTAGTTTTGCCTATACAACTCCCGAATAATTTGACATCAGAATCGACTAATTTAAACTTGCTTTCGTGCGTGGAATATCAGGATATCAGGATCGTAGAAGGAGATAACACAGGTTTCAAATACAAATATATAATTAAAATAAATCCTTACAATTACAGACAGCAGCAGCCACGTGAGTCCAGGCCAGGTCCTAGGGGTGTCTTCTTGTTGCTAACTTCCTACTTTACTGCTCGATGATATCTGACTAACTACTACAACTGACTCGGCCGTCCGCTCCGGCCCAGGGCCCGGAGGCCCCGCGCGGCGGGCCGCCCGGCGGCTGCCCGCCCGTCACCCTCGGCAGGTGACCGAAGTGACCCTTCGGCTTCCCGGCCGACACGCGCGCTATGCGCAAAAATACGAAAAGTTACCAGCTTCGCGTTGACACCGCAGTTAGGCGGGAGATTCAAAATTTACAAATTAAAACTTTACTTTAGCTGTTGTTGGTTTCACAACATTCCTCCCCCCTCTAACAAGTTTTGCCCTCAAAACTTTACGCGCAGAAGCTGATAACCTTTGGTCTTACAAATAAATTTACTGAATTTAAGAAACTATACAAAGTTCAAACTACAAATTGAAATTAAAAGGACGGAATGTTTTTAAGAAATCTAAAGACAAAATAATCAAAATTTCTACCCTAACTCAAAATTAACATTTCCTAACTGGACCTGGACTCATTTGTGACTGCTGAAAACGAATACAAATTAATACATTTTAATTTCAAACAGCATTTCAAAACACTCACGTTCAAAAATGTATTTCAAAACCACAAAACACACTTCTACTTTCACTCTAAAATCTAAATCACATGGCATACAACAAAACAAATCCCTTTCATTGATTTATTTTCTTCAAAACTTATAAACCAAAACTTTACGGATTCTACCAAACAAGTTGGCATAGCATACAAGGAAACCTCTCTTGACAACGGAAAACTTTCACTAAAACAGCGGAGACAATACCTAAATCTTTAAACTCTTCTCACTATCACTGCATAACGTTTCACATGGCTAGCTAAACCGAAACTAACTCTCTTTACAACGCTCAACTAAGAGAACCATAAACAAAGCCTATACTGCAAAGTTGGAACAAGTTAACTAGAA